GGTATTTTCCCTGAATTTTGGAGGATTTTCCCTGAATTTTGGGGAATTTTCCCTGAATTTTAGGGGGATTTTTTCCTGAATTTTTGGGGGATTTTTCCCTGAATTTTGGGGGATTTTTTCCTGAATTTTGGGAGGATTTTCCCTGAATTTTGGGGGGATTTTCCCTGAATTTTGGGGGATTTTTCTCTGAATTTTGGGGGATTTTCCCCTGAATTTTGGGGGATTTTTTCCTGAATTTTGGGGGGATTTTCCCTGAATTTGGGGGGATTTTCCCTGAATTTTGGAGGATTTTCCCTGAATTTTGGGGAATTTTCCCTGAATTTTAGGGGGATTTTTTCCTGAATTTTTGGGGGATTTTTCCCTGAATTTTGGGGGATTTTTTCCTGAATTTTGGGGGATTTTTCCTGAATTTTGGAGGATTTTCCCTGAATTTTGGGGGATTTTTTCCTGAATTTTGGGGGATTTTTTTCCTGAATTTTGGGGGATTTTTCCTCTGAATTTGGGGGGATTTTCCCTGAATTTTGGGAGGATTTTCCCTGAATTTTTTGGGGATTTTCCCTGAATTTTGGGGTTTTTCCCTGCCTCAGTTTCCCTCTCCCCCAGGGACCATCCCAAACTCCCAAATCCCCAAATTTTGAGATAGGGAGAGGCCCAAAATCCCAAAAAAACCTGAAAGGGGGTGGGGAATAAAACCCAAACTGGGATTAATAAAAATATAAACTTTTAAAATAAAAAAATTATTTGGGAATAAAAGGGGAAATAAAAACCCAAACCAGGATGAAAAATAAAAATAAAAACTTTTATTTGGGAATAAAAATCCCCCAAAATTTTTGGGGATTTTGGGGTCAGAGCTCGCCGCGGGCGTCGCTGTCGTGCCAGGGTTGGGAATTCCGGGATTCCTGCAGGAATTCCTCCCCATCCCAAATTTTGGGGATATTTTTGGGGGGCTCTGGGTGTTGTGCTGGGGGTGGGAATTCTGGCATTCCTGTGGGAATTTTTCCCTTCCCCATCCCAAATTTTGGGGATATTTTTGGGGGGCTCCGGAGGTCACGGTGTTGTGCTGGGGGTGGGAATTCCTCCCCATCCCAAATTTATGGGATTGGGAATTCCAGGATTCCCACGGGAATTCCTCCCCGTCATCCCAAATTTCCCTGTCCCAAATTTCAGGGGGTTTTGGGGTTCTGGTGTCATGAATTCCAGGATTCCCACCGGAATTTCTCCCTGTGATCCCAAATTTCGGGGGGCTCTGGCATTGGGAATTCCAGGATTCCCACGGGAATTCCTCCCCATCCCGAATTTCAGGGGACTCCAGGGCTGGGAATTCCAGGATTCCCGTGGGAATTCCTCCCCATCCCAGATTTCGGGGGGCCCTGAGGATAGAAATTCCAGGATTCCCGTGGGAATTCGTCCCCATCCCCAATTCCGGGGACGTTCCGGGCTCAGAGCTCGTCGCGGGCGTCGCTGTCGTGCCGGGGTTGGGAATTCCGGGGCTCCTGCAGGAATTCCTCCCCGTCCCAGATCTCGGGGGGCTCCGGGGCGCTCGGGGGCTGGGAGCTGCGGGATTCCCGCGGGAATTCCGGCCCGGCTCCGGGGGGCTCCGGGGGGGTCTCGGTGTCGCTGACGTAGCCGGGCTCCCCCGTGTAGTGCGTGGGGAAGAGCAGCAGCGGCTCCGCGGAAAACGCCAGCAGGTCCCGGCGGGAAAAGTGCCGGGAGTACTCGGGGCTGGGGAAAAACGGGGGGAACGGGGGGAAAATGGGGGAAAAATGGGGGAAAATGGGGTGAAATTGGGTGAAAATGGGGAAAAAATGGGGGGAAATGGGGAAAAAAGGAGAAAAAATGGGGGGAAATGGGAGAAATACAAGGAAAATGGGGGGAAATGAGGGGAAAAGAGGGGAGAGATCCAGAAGTGCTGGGAGTACTCGGGGCTGGGGAAAATCGGGTAGAAACGGGGTGAAAATGGGGAAAAACAGGAGAGAAATCTGGGGAAATGGGGTGAAAATGGGGAAAATCTGGGGGGAAATGGGGAAAAAATGAGAAAAAATGGGGGGAAATGGGAGAAATACAAGGAAAATGGGGGGAAATGAGGGGAAAAGAGGGGAGAGATCCAGAAGTGCTGGGAGTACTCGGGGCTGGGGAAAATCGGGTAGAAACGGGGTGAAAATGGGGAAAAACAGGAGAGAAATCTGGGGAAATGGGGTGAAAATGGGGAAAATCTGGGGGGAAATGGGGAAAAAATGGGAAAAAATGGGGGGAAATCGGGGAGAAATGGGAGGAATACAAGG